CCTCTGACATCCATATGCATGCCATGACACACACATGTGCACACACAAATATGTAACAAAAATATTCTTATTTTTGTTTGTTTTGAGATAGAAACATAGCTGGCCTTGAACTTGTTCTGAAACCAAATCTGACTGTGATTCCAGATTCTCCTGCTTTTTACCTCTCAAGTGCAGAGATTACAGGTGTGTGCTATCTAAAACCTCGTTCCTTTGGTAATCATACGAGGTTTCCACAATTTCTTTCTACCCAATAAAGAGCTCTAGTTTCAGGTAGGGCATGGTAGTGCCACACCTTTAGTCCCAGAACTCAGGAGGCAGAGGCAGATTTCTGTGAGTTCAAGGCCAGCCTGGTCTACACAGTGAGTTCCAGGCCAGCGGGGGCTACAGGGAGACCCTGTCTCCAAAAGACCAAGGGTAAAAAAAAGAGCTCTAGGTTTATCCTATATTTTCCCTGAGCCCTGGGAACAGTCATCTCTTTAAGGATCCTGGCTTCCTAGGTCTCTGAGTTCTAGGCCTATTTGATGCTTCCAAGTTGATCACTCTTTCAAGACACTTTCAAGATCTAAAACATCAAAGTCTATTTCTCCCTTCAATCCTGAATGTGGTATCTAATTGTTCTTTTTCAACTATTTGTTGAAAAAGACTATCCTTTCACCATTGGATTGCCTTTGTCCCTTTTTAGGTTTTTATTAGTATGTTAATTATACACAATAATGGGTTTCATTATGACATTGTCATACATGCGTACAATATTTTTTATATTTACCCTCCAATACACTCTCTTGTCCCCCTCCCATTCCTACTGATCTCTTTATGCTTCCAAATCAGTTCCCCTTCCACTTTTGGGTTGCTTACAGGAATGTGGGAGGGGGTTATCTATGGGAGCACAAACTTACCAGTAGTTGTACCACAGAAGAAAATGTCTCTCCCTTCCCCAGCCACCATTAACTGCCTCCAGATTCTCAGGAGACATGAGGCCTCCTGAACACCCCCACCCCCACCCTTTTTTTTGACAGGGTCTCATATAGCTCAGGTTTTATTTGAACTCTCTAAGTAGCCAAGAATGACCTTGAAGACACCTGCTGCCATTTCTTGAGTGCTAAATGCACTCAAGGTGCATGTATCATCATGCCAGTTTGTGCATTTGTATAATCCTGGGAATCCAACCTAGGGCCTGTGAATGCTAGGCAAGCATTCTACTAACCTGCATCTCCAGACTTATTTTGTTTTGCTTTGTTTGCTTTGTTTTGTTTTTGTGTTTTGTTTTTTATCTTTTTGAGACAGGGTCTCCCTGTAGCCCCAGCTGGCCTGGAACTCACTATGTAGACCAGGCTGGCCTTGAACTCACAGAGATCCACCTGCCTCTGTCACCAGGATGCTGGAATTAAAGGCGTGTACCACCATGCCCAACTGTACAATTAAATTTTAAATTTTTTAAAAAAGACTAGGTCTTGCCGGGTGTGATGGCCCATGCCTTTAATCCCAGCACTTGGGAGGCAGAGGCAGGTGGATCTCTGTGAGTTCAAGGCCAGCCTGGTCTACATAGTGAGTTCCAGGACAGCTGGGGCTACAGGGAGACCCTGTCTCAAAAAGACCAAAAAAAAAAAAAGACTAGGTCTCTTGAAGCCCAGATTAGTCTTGAATTCTGGACCCTGCTGTTTCTGCTTTCCAAGTGCTATGATTATAGGGGTGTGCCACCACACCTAGCTGCCATTGCTCCTCAGTCAAAGATTGGTTGGCTATGTTTGTATGAGTCTTTTCCAAACTTTCTGTTCTGTTCCTTTGATCTATATCTATTCTTTCATAAACACAACAATGTCTTGAGTAGAGTTTTAGGGTAAGTCTTGAAGTTATGTAGTCTGAGTCCTCTGACCTTCAGTATAGTATTCTGGGTCATTTGCCTTTCAATATAGACTTTAGAATCAGTCCATCAGTATCTACAATATAATTTACTGGGATTTTGATTGAGATTGCATTGAATCTGTAGATTAATTTGCAAAAGAACTGAAAGCTCAACAAATTGAAAAAAAAGTCCTCCTGCCCAGGACCATGGAGTATTGTACTGTGGATGACTTAAACATTTAAGTGGTGATGCACACCTTTAATCCCAGCACTCAGGAAGCAGAGGCAGGAGATCTATGTGAGTTCAAAACCAATCTGGCCTATATAGCAAGTTCCAGGCCAGTCAGGGCTCTTCCAGAGGACCTAGATTTGGTTCCCAGTATCCATATGGTGGCTAACACTCATCCTTAACTCCAGTTCCAGGGGCTCTGAAACCCTCTTCTGGCCTCCACAAGTACCAGGTGTGCACTTGGTATACCTACATAATTTCAGGCAAAACATACATTCACATAAAATAAAATCTTTTTAAAAAACAATAGCAAAGAACTTGTGTAAATGGAAAGATCAGTCCCTTGTAGAGGGAAGAGGGGATCCAATTATTTTATTCAAAATCTGCATTTTTGTATAACAATGAGGTGGTAGAACTAAAAAGTGTAAATAGGGCACCTTCTGACCATAGCTATGCCATGTTAAAGTTTAGGCTGACTCTAGTCTCTGAAATTATCAGGCAGTTGACCCAGAGTATGGGAACACATGTCAGCTAGACCCCAGTTGTCTTGGGAACAGGTCAACTGTCCTGAAGAGTACCTGCTAACTGCAGATTTATGGCTTTTGTAGGTTATTCTTGGCTTTCTTCCGCAAAATAATAAATATTGTTTAATAGAATAGAAATTGTTAAGGGGGCTTTGCACCTGTGAGCTTGGGAACTTAAACTTTTCTCCCAGGTTATGGTTTTTCTGTATAAAAGCTTACCCTACAGATGGCTCAGGGCTACACACATGGGCTCTGACACCCTCGTGTAGTAGTAGCCCTGGCCAGCAACGACTTTCATTCAGCAAAACTTTGTCTGAGTGGTCGTCTCTGGTGAAGCACCCCACAACAAAGGAAACTTCTAGACATAATTTTTCCTGCCTCTTGTATCAAAACAGGTTCACATTTACAAATATGGAGGCATCTTTCCAAGACTGAATCGCTGCCTGCTCTTTGTTGTTGTTGTTGTTGTTTGTCTCATCTTTTTGAGACAGGGTCTCCCTGTAGCCCCAGCTGTCCTGGAACTCACTATGTAGACCAGGCTGACCTTGAACTCACTGAGATCCGCCTGCCTCTGCCTTGGGATAAAAGGAGTGCACCACCACGCCCAACAATGCCATCTCTTTTTGTATGAATGACAGCCCAGATATCAGGATACCTTCCTAACTGTGGGAGTTATAAATCCTCAAGTTTAACTGCTAGTCTTATTCTTGCTCTGTCCTCTTTGTTTAGAATAGAGATTTCTCTGAAAACCCTTCAAAGACTCAAAGGCCAATGTGAAGCCCTCCCTTACCTGTGGACCTCTGCACTTTCTTCCCTCCCTTGTTCCTTTCTCTCTCTTTGTTTTTATTCTCTTTGTTTGAGAAAGAATCTCACTATGTATCTGAAGCTGTCCTGGAACTTACTATGTAGCCCAGGTTGGCCTTCTCAGCCTCCTAAGTGCTGGGATTACAGGTGTGTGCCACCATGCTCAGCATTAATACACCTTTCATCTTCTCTACGTTCCCCAGAAAAATAGGGCTTTTGTGGAAAGAGAATCATCTCAAGGGTAACTGCTCAAAAAGCCTGTAAGGAAAAGTCATGTTCCAGGACAGATTGAGCCAACCTCAGCTGTCTCCTCAAGTACTGGGAATTTATGGCTGGATTTAAACCATCGTCAAAGCTGACCTAAGAAATTTTAGGACACTATTTCTTGGTATTTTAGGCTCAAGACTGATCCCTCACTCTACAAAAGGGCTCAGATTTACCCATTGCATGTCTTCATTCTAAACCTTTTATCCAGACCATGGCCAGACCACATACATCAGATCACTAGTGTCACTTTATGTCAGTTTCTCAGCTTCCATCCTCCCACCCATGTGTCTATGATCTCATGTGTGTTTCACTGCTATCTCAAAGTCAACAAGAGCTCTCCAGAGTTTTTAGTAATTGCCGGAATAACACAGCAGGGAAAGCTGCTTGTCTTTCTCCATTCCTCTGTATTCTGCTTCACGCCATATTCTTTATGAACGTGTATGTACCTGTGCATGCATGTTCACATGTGGGGGCACATGTGTACTCAGCTGTGTGTTCACATGTGTTCATGCAAGTGTGGAGACCAGAGGCTAATATTAGATGTCTTCCTCAATTGCTTTCCTGGATGACTACATTTCTGATGATTTATCCTCTACCACTAGGCTTCTGTCAAAGCTTTCCCCTGACTTTAATCTGTCCAGACCATCCAATCACTCCCTGTCTTTACATGGCATAATAAAGTTACTATCTGCACAAGACTGGTCCAGTTGTATCCTAGTAATATCCAATGTACCTCTGAACTTCCATTCCCCCCTCAGAACACCACTCAATTTTGCAATGAATTATCTGTCTCATCTGTCTTGGTAGGCAATAAATAATCTTGAGCTGTTTCTTCCATGATATGTATCCCCAAATGCCATTTGCACTCAGGGGGCACTTACTAAAACCTTTTGAACTGGAGCTGGAGAGATGGCTCAGTGATTAAGAGCACTCTTGCACAGGACTGGAATTCAGTTCCAAGCACCCACATTAAGCAGCTTACAACCACCTGTAACTCCAGCTTCAGGGGATCTGATGTCCTCCTCTGGCACCTTCACTCACATACAGATACCCCCACATAGACACATATACACATAAGGAAAATAAAATAATTTTTTTAATTAAAAATATTTGACCTAACTATATTTAGCATATACATGCTGAGAGGCTAGGAGTGGAACTCAGTGCCACAGAATGTGTTTAGCATGCAGGAGGCACTAGGTTCAATCCCCAAGTAAACACACACATACACACACATACATACACACGTATGAGCAGAATATAATGCCCAGATTCCATCAACAGCTTATGGAAAGAGACAAGGGAAAATATATGCAATATCTTTGTTCCATAGTTCATTTATGGAACTGGGGCAGGTGATTTAACAACAGATTACAATATAAGACTGGAAGAGAAGAATTCTCACTTTCCCTCCCAGGAGCCTGTTGTGACAGTGATGCTTGCAAGTTTTCCAAAATAGCCTTCTGTTGTTGGGCAAGCTGGACCTGAAGCTGGAGGTTGGCGTACATACATTCTAGGAGTCCTGGTCATTCCTCGGGCTTCTGACCAACTCCTAAAGAAGAGGTGATGGAGGCACAAAGGAGAGAAGCTTTGTAGTTGCAGTGATGTTAGAAGGACATCAGTAAGAATGCTAACCTTCCCAGCCACAACCCAAGCCAGAGAGATGCATATCTGCTCAGCAACCACTTTCTGCAGAGGCTTACCTGGTTAATGTTAACTTAAAACCAACACTGCAACTCACTTCCCTCCCTCTAGTTTTATTTTTCTCACAATATTTATGGTCATGTGGCATCTTCTGTAATGACTTATGTTTGCTCCAGAAAAGTAAGATTTTTGTCTGATTTGTTACTTCAGGGTTCCCAGCACCTGGAACAGTGCCTGTACAGAAGTACTCAGAAACATTTGGCTGAATGCTTCTCAGTGTTTTGGCTAAGAGCGAGTATAATATCACATTTTATCAGTTTAATATCTGATATGTCCATAAAGGACAATATATTCAATGGATTTTTGTTGCTGGGAGATGGAATAGGAGCTTGCTTTACCCACTCCACACACTGACCTGGTATTGCAACACTTCCAAGAACAGTGCAACCTCTTGGGGAGTCTCAAGTTGTACTACAACAACAAAGTACAGGGTTGGAGAGATGGCTCAGCAGTTTGAGTACTTGCTGCTCTTGCAGAGGACCTGAGTTCAGTTCCCAGCACCTACATGGTGGTTAATAACCATCTTTAACTTCAGTTCCAGAAGACCCAATGCCCTCTTCTGGTCTCTGATGGTGCTGCACACACATGGTGCATTACACATTTTAGAAAATGACTGAGCCAGGCAAGCCAGATGAGCCAGGCATGGCAGTGTGCATCTATAATCCTAGCACTCGAGGTGCTGAGACAGGAGGATCATGGCACGTCTGAGTTCCAGACCAGACTGGCTACATAATAAGACCCTGGTCTCAAAACAACAGCAATCAAAAAAATGTTTGAACGCAGGGTCTCATGTAGCCCCCTGCTGGCCTCAAACACTATATAGCCAGGATGAACTCCTGATCCATTTTCCAAGTGTTGGGATTACGGGCATGTGCTGCCACACAGAGTTTATGTGGTCTTGGGGATTGAACCCAGGACCTTGTGGATGATAGGCAAACATTCTACTGAGCCATATCCGAGCCCGAAAAAAATTTTTTTGGTAAGTGGGTGAAACAGCCTGAGAATAAAACATAACTTCGTTTTCAAGAAATACCTCAGCCTCCTTCGATTTGATATGGCACCTTATTAGCAGCGACCTGAAGATCTTCCTGTTGTCTAACTCCAAGTATTTGTGGTACATCATCTTATTTTTTTCAAATGTTTTCAACTACATTATGCACAGGTGGTGGGTTCTTGGTTAACTTTGGGAATTATATTATCTGTGGTAGAGGTTATGGCCACCCAGAATCCAGGGGTTCCCCATACATATTTAAATATCCACTGACTTCTCCAAGGGCAGATGAATAAAAAAAATTCAAAGAAACTGAGATTGAGCTAAAAGTTACTATTCTTTCTCTAGCACCTTGGCATGACTAACAAGCAGGAAGACTTTCATCTCACTCTGCCTAGTCTAGCAAAGGTGCTAGCTAATAATTAAGGAAACATCACAAATTGGGAAAGAAAATTAAATGAACAGAGCTGAATAATCAACATGCTACAATTAAAATGAAATAAACAAAGGTGGAAAACCCTAAAGGTGCTTTGACTGGAGTGAGCACCAGCAACAGTACACCGCCTGCTGGTCTGTCTGGGAAGCCTCCCCTCCAGCCTTACCTGAAGGCAGCTTTGTTGTCTGGATGTTCAACAAAGTGGCGGGGAGAGGGGGGGATTTGCTTGACGATTAATATAACTGGGGAGGGTTTTGCTCGACAAAAACACAGAGCATTACCTTCCTCTTTAGCTGAAAATCAGAGGTTACTAAATCAAAGCTTATTCTAATAAAAGATAGCAGATTTCCCCCACCATTCTCTCTCTCTCTCTCTCTCTCTCTCTCTCTCTCTCTCTCTCTCAACGGTATTTTTATTAATTCTTCTAGAATTTCATACAACGTATTTTGATCACATTCATCTCCTCCCTCCTTTTTCAATTGTAAGATCATAGGCCAAGCTGGCCTTGAACTCCAGATCCCTCCCCCTGCCTCAGCCTGCCTCCCAAATGCTTAGGTTGCACCACCACACCCAGTGAGTTTGCCTTTCTTTTTTTTTTTGAGACAAGGGTCTCCCTGTAGCCTTAGCTGGCCTGGAACTCGCTATGTAGACCAGGCTGGCCTCAAACTCACAGAGATCTGCCTGCTTCTGCCTCCTAAGTGCTGGATTAAAGGCGTGCGTCACCACACTGGAGTTTGCCTTTCTAATTAGAGCACTGCCTCTGGTCTATGGAAGCAGGTGCCAGACCCTACCCTCAATATCTTTATAGATGAGAAAAACATAGAGAAAATACTGAAAACAAAAAACCAATGTGAATTAAGAGAAACCAGGTGGGGCAGGAGTAAAATCTAATTACTTGGTGGGCACTGTGTGTTTACTACTATACTAGACCCAGACATACACAAAAGACATATACAGTATGATTTCTTAGCTGCTTATTATCAACTTAGGGAAACAAATTAGAATCAGCTGAAGCATTGCCGTCAGACTTGGCAGACCAAGTCTGTAATCCCAGCACTTGGGAGATGGAGGCCAGGGACATTCAAGATCATCCTCAGCTACACAGCAAGTTCAAGGCTAGCATGGGCTACATGAAAACCCTGTCTGAAAAAAAGAAAAAAAAACAGATGAAACAACACAAGGACATAATGAATCTAACAGTCTGGGTAAAAAGAAGGGAGGGTGTTACAGGTGAGCCCAGCTAAGGCCAAGTGTGTGATTAAATGTAAAAATTAGTTGTTGTTGAGACAGGGTCTCCCTGTAGCCCCAGCTGGCCTGGAACTCACTGTGTAGACCAGGCTGGCCTTGAACTCTCAGATCCGCCTGACTCTGCCTCCCAAGCTCAGGGATTAAAGGTGTGCATCACCCTTTTGGCTAAGATCATGTGTAGTATCTATTCTTATCAGTTTAAAAATAAGTGGTTTTTTTTTTTTTAAAAAAAAAAAAAAAAAAAAGGGAAGATGGGACTGATGAAAGGGCTCAGTGGTTAAGCAAACTGGCTGCTATTGCAGAAGACTCAGATTCAGTTCCCAGCACTCACATGACAGCCAACTGTCCATAACTCCAGTTTCAATGGATCACACGCCCTCTTCTGGCTCCACAGGCACTGCACACATGGTACACTTCCATGCAGGTAAAACTCACACACACAAAATATAATCTTTTTAAAAGGGGGGAGGGAGAGATGAACATCAGTACAATAGTCAGAGAAGGCTACATGTGGGCAGGGGACATTTACTGGACCTTGAAAACCTGGAAAGCTTTTGATGAGCAGAAAAGATATTTCAACTGGGAGAAAGGACAACTTGAAGACTGACGAGGAAGCATGAATAAGGCTGAAGGGGCTAGAGAGATGACTGGAGAGCACTGGCTGCTCTTGCAGAGGACCTGGGTTCAGTCCCAGCACCCACCTGGTGGCTAACAACTGTCCCTTTAACTTCAATTAAAGGGATCTGATGCCCTCTTCTGGCCTCCGCAGGCATTGTATGCACAGGTGCACTTCCATACATGGAAGTGCAAAACAGGCAAAACACTCATCCACATAAAAATATATAATTTTTTAAAGAATAAATCTGAGGGGCTGGAAAGATGGCTCAGTGGTTAAGAGCACTGACTGCTCTTACAGAGGACGGAGTTCAATTCCCAGCACCCTCATGGAAGCTACGGAACATCCTTAGCTCCAGTTCCAGGGCAATCCGAAGCCCTCTTCTAACCTTCGAGGCATTGCACAACACAGGTGAACTCACATACACGCAGGCAATACACTCATACACATAAAATAAAAATAATAAATAAAATTTTTTTTAAAAAAAGAATAAGCTTGAAATGGTGAAGAATGCTAGGAAACTGGCCAGCATTAGGATCTGGGGAGGAGGAAAAGAACAGGATGGGCTATAGAAGCCTCTCTACATTACCAGATCTGAGATGCTTAACCTTTCTCTTGAATATAATAGACACTTAAGACACTTAGCCTTTTAGGGTTAGTAAACCAGACTAAAATAGCAGCTTCATTATACATATTAAATTGAGTTTCACATGGACAAAATCTTCTTTCCAAGACAGGGTCTTGGTATATAGCTAAGGCTGGCCTGGTACTCCATATGTAGCCCTAATGACCTTGAATTCATGGCAGTTCTGCCTCAGCCACCCAAGTGCTGGGATTATAGGAGTAAGCCACCATACCTGGCTGTGGAAGAAAATTTAAGATTTATTTGTGTGTGTGTGTGTGTGTGTGTGTGTACCTTGAATGTATGTATGTGTACCACATGCAAGCAAGTACCTACAGAAGTCAGAGGGGGTGTCAGAACTCCTGAAATCTACAGGTAGCTGTATGCTGTCATGTGGATGCTAGGAACCAAATCTGAGTCCTCTCCAAGAACAGCAAGAGCTCTTAACACCTGAGCCATCTCTCCAGCCCTTGGAAGAAATTCTTCCTTGTTACTTTTGGCAACAACAGCTGAGTCAGAAGAAAACACTGATTTTGAGGCGCTGGTGAATCTCATCACAGACACCCATTATTTTTGTCTACTGAGTAACCCCTTCTCCAGAAAACTATTCTTTCCCTAGGTCCCAGGCAGTATAGGTGAAACAGCACTCAAGTCTTTCTTACCATTGAGAATGTGCACTTGTCCCACTACAGGCCAATCCTGACATCTTATTCCTCTTAGTAGCCATGACTACCAACTGGTAATCATATAAAAAGTAGGTTGGGCTGCAGTCATGCCTCAGATCAACAAATGAATTGTATGTCAAAGCTTTCTTAGCTGGACATAGTGGCATACACAAGTGTAATTCCAGCACTTAGGAGACTGACTGGAGGATTGCAAGTTCTAGGCTAACCTTGTTTGGGGTCCGAAAAATTCCCTGAATTGACCACTCGGACACTGAGACTCAGGAGAACTTAACTGCTTTATTGAAACCAACCGGCCGAGGACGCAGGCAGGCTCAGGAGCTACACTGCGACCCAGAGCCTTGGAAACACACAGTTTTTAAGCACAAAAACCGCAGAGCAGAGGATTTCCATAGAAACCATAAACAGATGTACCAGGAAAGGGTTCAAACTATCTAGGGGATTTCCAGTCAGGTGGAGGGCAGCTCTTTCTCAGAGGACAGGGAGGGGGTCTGAGGAGCACTCTCCTTCATTCCCCCCTTTTGTTTTGGAAATTTTCTTGAATCAAACCATTGATTCATATGTGTTGTCTAGGAGATTGTAATGGGCCCTCATAACCATCAGTTGTACAGTGGAGACCCTTTGTTTAACAAACTTGACTAGAACATTAAAGATACAGGGTCCAAAGGTTAACAGTGCTATAAGGATTAAGAGGGGCCTGGCCAGAGCAGTGAACAAGGGGTTAGGCCAGAGGAGCAAGCAAACCAAGTGGAGGGGGGGCAGCAAGCAATTGGGTGTCTACTGATTAGAAACCCCGAGGTAGGGAGAAGTAGTCAAAGGATCTTCTTTGGACATGAAGCATGAAGCCCCTGCCCCTTTAGATCCCTTAGGGTGAAAGTAGTTTCCCAGGGGCATGAGGCAGTATCACTCAGGGGCACTATTTTTAATTCCTCCCTTTTTGCAGTGAGGGCAAAACCTATGTAGTGGGGTGGTCAGGGATCCAGGCAGAGCCAGCAGTCTTTGGTCATCTCAGGGCTTGTGTTATTTAAATACTGGAAGGTAGCCTTCACGGTATTTATAAGGGGCTCCCCGTCTAGAAGGGGAGGGAACTCTTCATCCCTCAGAGGGATCATCCTTATAGTCAGGAGAGTGGTCAGGCTGGGGACCAATTTAGTCAGTGTTTCTAAAGGAGGGGGAGCTGAATCTGGCTTAAGTTCTGGTTCCAGGGTCTATGCCAGATACATAGGCCCTCAGTCCCCATGTGTGGCCTGTGTCTCATTTCTGATCCATAGTAAAGACATCCCATTGTTTTAGGGTTATGATAAGAGGGTTGCAGATCTTGGGGACTGTACATGACCTATTTTTTTCCAACTGAATATTAATGTATGGATTTTGTAGTTCAAGTGGATACCATGTTGGGGCCCATGTCTCATAACCCCAGTAAGCACAGTCATAGCTTCCTTCTTCATCACAGTCAGTCCTGGTGTTCGCCGGGCATGCACAGAAGGCAGTTCTCAAGGCTTCTTCTGCATCTACGGTGCCGGCCTTACATCCAGTAGCAGGTCTCTGTGCCATCACTCCCCCATGACCATCCATTTGGTATCCCTCATGCTTTTGGGTGGCTTCTCTACCTAGTATTGACCATAAGGAACATAGGTCAGTTTCAAACCGGGGATTAGTCTGAGGGTTAGGAGGCGTCATCTCCATAATAATCTTTCTTGTCTGTGTATCAGATAATTTCCAGACATAAGTCTGGGGCTGGTAAATTCCTGGCGGGGGGCCGTCCCAGAGGGTATAGTCAGCAGGAACAAGAGTCATAGTGACACCCGGGGAACAAGTGAATTGTCTTTTACCAGTTGAAGTTTCAGGGGATCTCCTGGGTGATGTTGGACCTTCCATTTTTCTTGGTCAACCTGGGCAGGCTTGACATGTGAGTGATGAATCCAGGTGCACAGTCCATCCACCTTCACTGCCATGGGAGTCATCAGGATCACAGTGAATGGTCCTTTCCACCGAGGGGCCAATGTCTCCTTCTGATGTCACTTTATCCAAATAATGTCTCCAGGTCAGGAAGGATGTAGACTAGCTGGAGGCAGTTCGTGCATGTGCTGGATCAGGGGGTGGAGGTGCTCTTGTAAAGTCTGTAATGCCCTAATAGACTGGAGGATTTCATGATTAGATATTTCAGCCAACAGTTGACTTTAATCTTGAGACCAGGGGAGGGAGTCTTCAGAAAAGAATCTCAAAAGGAGTTATTCCCTGGATATAGGGGGAGTTTCTAACCCTGAGGAGGGCAAAAGGGAGGAGAGTCACACAGCCAGCACCAGATTCTAAGGTTAATTTAGCCAAGATTTCCTTAAGGGTTTGATTCATCCTCTCTACCTGTCCTGAACTCTGGGGATGGTAAGCACAATGTGGTTTCCAATCTGTCCCCAGGGCCTTTGCTAAGGCCTGAATTACCTGAGAGATGAACGCTGGTCCATTGTCAGATCCTAACACCAGGGGCACACCAAACCTGGGAATTGTCCCCGACCGCTTTCCGTCTCGCCAGCAAGAATGACGTGGGAGGACAAGTCAGGATCCTTCTGCAGCAGTTTATTTGAAGACTGTCTTGGTCAGAAAAGCTTCTACCCATCCTGAAAAGGTATCTACAAAAACCAGTAAATATATATATCCAAACCATCCCGGCTTTACCTCAGTGACGTCTACCTCCCAGTGGACTCTGGGGGCAGTCCCTCTTTCACATTTTCCTGAGGATTTATCATTGTTCGGGTAGGCATTAGTCATCTGCATGCCATACATCTGGAGGTGATGTCCTGTACTGTGGCTGTTGAGGAAGGAAACTGGAAGCATCTGGTTAGTAATGACCTGATCTTTTCTTTTCCCATGTGGGTTCCTTCATGGAGTTGGCAAACTAGCATCTCCCCCAGGTGGGAGGGGAGGATGACTTTGCCATCTGAAGTGTGTCTCCATCCTGAGGAGACATACCCATTTGGAATTGTCTAGAAATATTTGTCATCCTCTTCCGTGTGAAGGGTTTTCAGGTAACGTAGGCTCTGGCAGGGCTAGGAGAGCAGGTTCGGATGGGGATTCTGCTATTTCCTTGGCAACTTGATCCGCCTTTTGGTTTCCTCGGGCCTTAGGTATGTGGTTCTTTTGATGTCCTGGGCAATGAATGACTGCCATCCTTTTGGGCAGCTATATGACCCTTAACAAATCAATGATCTCTTGTTTGTGTTTAATAGTCTTTCCTTCTGATATCAGGAGGCCTCTTTCTCGATAGATGGCCCCATGTACATGAACAGTGGCAAAAGCCTATATACTGTCAGTGTGAATGTTGACAGTCTTACCCTGTCCCAGTCTTAGGGCCTGAATCAAGGCTATCCGTTTGGCCTTTTGTGCAGAGGTTCCTTTGAGCAGGGCTTCCACCCACAGGACATCCTCCTGGGTGACTACTGCCACCCCTGCATACCTGACTCCATCTTTTATGTAACTACTCCCATCTGTGTACATCACCAAGTCAGGGTTCTCCATGGTAAGTCGGTGAGATCAGGTCGGCTTCCCTGGACATGCTGCAGCAGTTCAGAGCAATCATGATGCATAGCTGTCTCAGACTCAGTCTCAGGAAGCAGGGATGCAGGGTTTAAGGCACTGGTCACTGCATATGTCAGGTGGGCACATCTAGTAGGAGAGACTGGTAATGAGTTAATCTTGCATTTATGAGCCAGTGAGCAGGCAGTGCCCTCAGCACCCCTTCAATAGCACAGGAAGTGGTCACAATCAGTTGTTGTCCCAAGGTGAGCATCCTTAACTAGGGCTGCAGTGGCCACTATTATCTTCAAACAGGCTGGCCATCCAGCAGCTACTGAGTCTAATTTCTTTTGAGAGGTAGTCTACCGGTCTCTTCCAGGGGCCCAAAGTTTGAGCAAGTACACCCTTTGCTACACCAAACCGCTCATCTACATAAAGGTAGAAGGGCCTCGAGACATCAGGTAGGACTAGGGCTGGTGCAGAAGTGAGGGCCTGTTTTAGGTTGTCAAAGGCCTGCTATTGTTCTTCTCCCCAGGAAAATGCTGAGGGTGCCCCCTTGTTACTGCGTATGGAGGCCTGGCCAGCTCTGCAAAACCAGGTATCCACAGGCGACAATATCTAGCTGACCCCAGGAATTCTCTGACTTGCCTCTGACTTTGGGGAATGGAGATGTCCAGGATGGACTTTTTTCCTTGCAGAGGAGAGCCTGTGCATACCCCCTTCTAATTAAAACCCCAGATACTGTACCTCCTCCTGGCAGATCTGTGCCTTTTTAGCCGACACTTTGTACCCTAGGCATTGAAGTTCCTTCAAAAAGTCTTTTGTCAAGGAACAAATCATCAAATCCAGGACGGTATAAATCATCCTGTCAGGGGCCAGGGAGCTCAGGAGGGTGTAAGGATTAGGGACAGTGAGGTGTATGTCCGTGACTCTCTTATCCAATGTCCCATCTCCTTACAGTAGTCACATTGGTATCTCTTTAGGGGGCCAGCCTGAAGGCCCGGTCCCCTCTGCCAATTCTGATCTCTGGGTGGATATCTTTGGGGGAGGGGCATTCACCCACTCTTAGAGCCAAAACCCGTACCAGTTTTCAATTGTGATGTTCCTCACGTTCCTCCTGGGTCTCACAGTTATTGAAGACTTTTTGGGCGATTTCAAGCAATTCAGAGAGACTCTTACCTTCAAAGCCTTCCAACTTTTGCAATTTCTTCCAGATATCAGGAGCAGACTGGGTCATGAAGGCGATGTTTATTGCTCGTTGATTTTCTGACGCCTCAGGATCAATAGGAGTGTAAGCCCTGTAGGCCTCCATAAGCCTCTCCAGAAACTGTGCTGGAGCCTCTGTCTGTCCCTGCAAAACCTGACTTTTGACAAAAGTGTAGGCTTTTTAGCAGCAGCCTGGAGTCCCCCCATAAGAATCTGATGGTAGAGTTTGAGTGACTCCCTACCTTCAGGAGTTGGACATCATCCCAGGTGGACTTGTAAGAAAGATAGTCTCCAGGAGCCCAGTTAAAGCCTGGGATTTTTCAGAGAAAGGAGGATTTTGTAATTTCCAATTATTAACCACTTGGGAGGCTTGTCCAAGAGGTAAAAATAAGCCATAATATAGGGGACCTGGTCAGGGTGTCCTGGGTTTCCAACGATCATGGCCTGAACAGAAGAAAGTTTGTTAACATCAAAGGACCCAGTGGGGGTTCAGTCACCATCAAAAGATGGCCATTCAAGAGAACAAAGGGTACGGAACACCCCCCCCCCCACCAATGAACAGTGTCTCCAGAGATTGCAGCTACCTTCTGTCAATCCTTAAAATGAGAAAGAATTAAGTCAAGGGGTGTGTCTTCAGATGAAGGGGATTGACCCATGATGGAAAAGAAAAGGATTACGCCGATCTGTTCAAGACTTGACTGACACAGAACAAAGGTGCTGAGCGTTGGAGATTCGCTGTAAGAGTGATTAGGGTTGACACCGAAGGCCCGGAGGGCACAAGCAGTCAACCATTCAGATGGAGGGTTGGGGCGTCCCCCATCCTCCAGCTCGGAGAGCAATGCTGCATCCAGTTTCTCTCCCTTGAGCCCCCAGAAGTCTGGACACCCAGAACAGAAATCAAAAGACTCACCACGGGAGAAACCAGATCTGATATCGTCGGGCGCCAGAGAAACAAAAGACAGGAAAACATACCAAATGTCTTTTAGGGAATCTCAGACGAGCCCCCAAAATGTTCAGGGTCTGAAAAATCCCTGAATTGACCACTCGGACACTGAGACTCAGGAGAACTTAACTGCTTTATTGAGACCAAACAGCTGGGGATGCAGGCAGGCTCAGGAACTACACTGCAACCCAGAGCCTTGGAAACACAGGGTTTTTAAGCACAAAAACTGCAGAGCAGGGGATTTCTATAGAACCCATAAACAGATGAACCAGGAAAGGGTCCAAACAATCTAGGGCTGATTTCCAGAGCCTTAACCTATACAGCCATTGGCTAGCTTACCTGGGGCAGAACGTTCTTCCTCTTCTGCCCCAGACCATTTCCATAGAAACCATAAACTGACGTACTAGGAAAGGGTTTGAACAATCTAGGGGATTTCCAGAGTCAGGCGGAAGGCAGCTCTTTCTCAAAGGACAGGGAGAGGGTCTGAGGGGCACTCTCTTTCAACCTGCGCTACATAGTGACACTGTTTCAAAAAACAAACAATTACAACAAACAAGGAAAAAAACAAACAAACAAACAAAAGCTACTCTCCTCTGGTTTGCTGTGCTAGCAAGATATAAAGTTGAGCCTAATGGGAACTACGGAATTTGGCCAGCTTATCATGAGACGTGGATACAAGCAAAGATTACAGGCAAGGGAGAAGAAAGGGCAGATAGCCAAATGGGTAGACATATACCAGCAGGCACTGAATCCCCAGTTTCAGTCCAAATGCTCTGGTTTCTGCAGTTCCTCTATTATGTGAATTACCTAGTGTCCCAACTGCACAAACCCCTAAATTACCTTTTGTACTCAAGACAGTTTGAGTTGGGTTCTGTCATATTATCATAATCACATTTTAGATATATTGAATTCTAAGGTGAAAGTAGGAAATTAAACAGAAATACCTAGAAAAACGAGATAGCACTACATTTGGGTGAAAGGTCAAATTGCCAGGCTAGGCACAAAAGGGAATAAAGAAGCTGCAAAAGGGGGCTGGAGAGATGGCTCAGTGGTTAAGAGCACTGGCTGCTCTTGAAGAGAACCCAGGTTCAGTTCCCAGCACCCACATGATGGCTCACAACTACCTGTAATTCCAATTCCAGGGGATTTGACACCATTTTCTGTGGACATGAGGTACACATATATACATACAGGCCAAAAAAAAAAATATGGGCAAAACACTCATACACATAAGTTGTTTTTGTTTTCATTTTGTCTTTTTGAGACCAGCTGGCCTGGAACTTGCTATGTAGACCAGACTGGGCTTGATCTCACAGAGATCTGCCTGCTTCTGCCTTCTGAGAGAAGGGATTAAAGGCATATCCTACCATGCCCTTTCACACTTAAAATTTTATTTATTTAAAAATTTTATTATTTTGGCCAGAAGTGGTGGCACACGCCTTTAATCCCAGCACTTGGGAGGCAGAGGCAGGTGGATCTCTGTGAGTTCAAGATCAGCCTGGTCTACATAGTGAGTTCCAGGACAGCTGGAGCTACAGGGAGACCCTGTCTCAAAAAGACCAAAAAAAAAAAAAAAAAACAAGCGTGGGGCTGGAGAGATGGCTCAGTGGTTAAGAACCGCTGGTTGTTGGTGCAGAACACCCGGGTTTGCATCCCAGCACCCACATGGCAGCTAACAACTGTCCATAACTCTAGTCCCAACAGCCTCTTCTGACCTCCTCGGGCATTGCACGACACGGGTGCACTTACCTACACACAGGCAATACACACACATAAAATAAAAATAATAAAAATTTTAAAAAGCCTGAGGACAAAGGTGTAAAAAATAAGTTGTATAAAATATGTCTTAAATGCCAGGCATGGTCATGCAGGCCTTTAATCCCAGCACTTGGGAGGCAGAGGCAGGCGGATCTTTGT